TGTAAATGAAGGGGTAAGGGAAGTTCATTTCAAACTACATGTGTGGTAGGGTACTTTATGTGTGGGTGGGGGTAGTACCTTCAGGGGTGGTCACACCAGGGTAGCAAACTTCCGTTAGTGGTTGGAAAAACAAGTTGCAGGGAAAGGAGGGGTGGTCAAATTTGTTACAGGGGGTACTTGATAGAAACAATATAGCAGTTTAAGTCCATTTAGTAGGGTAGGGTACTTTTGCCTGGGTGGGTAGTGGTAGCGAAAAAGATAAGAATCTGTAACGAAAAGGAAACCGCCATGTCAAAGATCCAACGGAAGTAACGGTTCTACTTGGAGTGACTAAATGCGGAAATTTGGCTGAGGGAATGCTGAAGCCGATGATGGAGTGGAGTAGGAGGGAGGGGAAGGGAACAAAGTGAGAGGGAGGGGAAGGGAATAAAGTGACGGGAAGGGAAGGAAGGAGAAGGGAAGGGAAGCAGGCAAGGCAAGGGACTCGGGCAATTGGCCGGAAGGGAAGGGAAGGGAAGGGAAGGGAAGGGAAGGGAAGGGAAGGGAAGGGAAGGGGAGGGGAGAGAAGCCTTGAAGGGAAGGCAAGGCAAGGCAAGGGAAGGCAAGGCAAGGCAAGGCAAGGCAAGGCAAGAAAGGGAAGGGAGGATAACTTAGTAAGATAGAGAAGGACTCGAAAGGATGTAGGATTGCTATACTCCGAGGTTCCGAAGTTCTCTGAAAGTAACTCTTGCCTCATCGGTTGTCTTCAGGAAACTAGACTCAGACTCGGAAGTTCTCAGAGTCAGCCGTCGGCCATTGTGGTAACCGCAATGGTCTTCCAAATTGTACAGGTGAGGATGTAGGAGACGCGATCAAACTGTGTAAGATAGGAGATGGGTTCTGAACTCCTCTCCTTCTTGTCTTATTCCGATGGTCTTGCCTTCCTCCTCCTCTTGCCTGTCGGTCATACGGTGACGATCGTTTGTAGATATTGTACATGAGCGAGCTGCAAGATGTCTGCTGGGCCTGGACAAATGCTGGTCGCCAGCAGGTGAGATGATGAGAAGAAACAGGAGGAGAGTCCCTTGAAAGCTGCTGCTGCGTTGATGATGAGGATGAGGATGATGAGGATGAGGATGACACTGATGATGACACTGATGATGATGATGATGATGATGGCGATGATGATGATGATGACACTGGCGATGATGATGACACTGATGATGATGATGATGATGGCGATGATGATGATGATGACACTGGCGATGATGATGATGATGATGATGATGATGATGATGACTTCCTCTTCATCCCCTTCCCTCCCATGCTTCTCCTCACCCTCGTGGCAGGTGGAGGGTTCTGGCCGCAGAAGCCGCAAGTGTGCGAGGCCGTCGACCCCGCGAAGGTTCTTGTGCTGATGGAGGGAGCGACCTAACGTGAAGGAACAGCTACACAAGTGCTTCGACGAGGATACGATCTGTCCTACCACCAACTCATCTCCCTCCTACTGCAAGGATGGGGCTACGTTCTAGAGTGGAGGATGAATGTGTTTCTGTGTATATAGGGGGAGGGGCTACGGGGATGAGGAGGAGGACGGTAGGTGCAGGAGGAGGAGGCGAGGTGAGAGGAAGCTAGGAGCAGGGGCAGGAGGGGAAGGAGAGAGGGAGGAGGAGGGAGGATGCAGGTTATTGAGATCAGCTACATGAAAAGAGACTGTTGGAACAACTTCCTCCTCCCTCCCCCCCCCTCCCATCTCGCTCCTCCTCATACCAGTGTCCCCGAGTAAACCTCCAGCGTTCGCTTCCCTGCCTGCTCATTCTACGTCAAGACTCTCGACGGCTTCTCTCGTCTGCTCACCAGCCGCTGGACCGGACTCGCCGAGTCTCCTTGCCCATGGGAGGAGTTGGTTGTGGCCCAGGAGAGGCTGTTGAGATGGACGGAGGAGGAGGAGGAGGAGGAGGAGGAGGAGGAGGAGGAGGAGGAGGAGGCGTTCGGGTCTGGAAGTTCGCTCCTGTCCTTCCTCCTCCTATCGTCTACCTCCTTCCGCAGCCCCAGCACCCGCCCCAGCACCATCCCCATCCTCTCCTCGACATCGTCCAAGAGGGTCTCAAAGTAGCTCAAGTCCGCCAAAGTCTCCTCCTCCCTCCTCTCCTCCCTCCTCTTCTCCTCCCTCCTCTTCTCCTCCTCCCTCCTCTCCTCCTCCTCCTCCCTCCTCTCCTCTTCCCTCCTCTTCTCTTCCCTCCTCTTCTCCTCCTCCCTCCTCTCCTCCTCCTCCTCCCTCCTCTCCTCTTCCCTTCTCTCCAGCTGCCGCAGCCGCCAGTTCTCCTCCATGGTCGCAGCCAGGTCCTCTCCAAGAGCCACCGCCTTTCTCCAGCTCTCTTCTCCCCTCCTCGCTGCCGCCCGGAGCTCCGCCTCCTCCTCCCGCATGCAGCTGATGACTCGTCCCTGCTCCTCCCTCCTCTGCTCGCTCAGCAGGAGGGCACATCGTAGCTGCTCCATCCTATCTGACCGGGCGAGTTGGAACCAGGAGCTCGCGGCTCTGACCCTTGCCCGACGGTTGGAGAGGGAGGAGAAGCAGCGAGCAGCGAGGGAGGAAGCTGAAGAAGCAAGGAGGTAGGAGGACAGCCAATGGCTCCATGCCCACCAGAGACAAGAGCAGGAGGAGGAGGTGGTGGTGATGGAGGAGGAGGAGGAAGTAAGTTTGACGATCTGCTTCCTCCACTTCCTCCACCTCCCCACCATCATCCATTCCATGAAGCATCTTGCCGTACAGCCGGCGGCCAGCTGGAGGAGGAGGAGGTCTTTCTGAGCCCTGTGCTCCTCCCGAGCCCTCTGGAGCACGCTCCTCCACTTGATCCACAACCTCCACAAGCTCCTCTCCTCCTCCTCCCTCCTCCTCTTCCCCAGCACCCTCTCCACCATCTCAGCAGGGCCTTGCGCGTCCTGACCCGTCGTGCTGGGCAAGGTCTTGTCGAGAAGGAGGAGGAGGAGGAGGAGGGGAGAAGAGGCCCACGCTCGCACTGCCCTCTTCTTCGCCGCTGCTCTCGTCTTCTCTGCAGCTGCAGCGAGCACCCTCCTTCTCTCCCTCCTCCTAGTCCCCGCCTCCTCCCAGCAGCTCAACACTCTTCGGAGGAGCGCGAGGGAGGAGGAGGCGGCGGCGGAGGAGGAACGACTTTCGTTGTCCTCCTTGAGCTCGAGCAGCAGCAGCATCCTCCTCCAGAACTTTCGCACGAGGGAGCAAGAGAACTTTTTTCTCGCACTCTCCTCCACCTTCTTGCTGCCCGCACGCAGCTTCTGCCATTCCTCCAGCGTCGTCCGCCTCCTCCTCTGCTCCTGCTGCGATCGTAGGAGGTCAACCAGTCCCTTCCTCCCTCCTGATCGACCTCGTTGCTCCTTCAAGGTCAGCACCCGCCGTCCTAGAGCTCTCCTCCGGAGCCGGCACGCGAGGAGGGGGAGGGGGAGGAGGAGGTGCCATGACGTCCTCGTGGCGTCCGTCCACGCTGCCATGGCCCGCTGTAGAGCGCGAACATAGGAGGAGGAAGAGGTGTAGGAGAGGAAGAACGGGAGGAAGAGAAGAGCTGCAGAGGGAGGAGGGGAAGGAGGAAGGAGGAGTGAGAAGGCTCGACGTTTCGTCTTCAACCTCCTCCTGTTTGCGATGCAGCGGCAGGAGCGCCGGACGTGCTGCCTGCCGTGGAGGAGGAGGCGCCATGAAGAGAAGCAGAGCGCGAGGGAGCGGAGGGAGCGGCGGGACAAGAGGATGGAGGAGGAGGAGGAGAGGAGGGAGGAGGAGAGGAGGGACTGGAGCGAAGAAATTCTCCAGAACAGGAGGAGGCGAGCGGTGTAACGCCTTCTCCTCCTGTTCCTGCTGTGTTCGACCGCACTTCTGCTGGAGTTTGAAGGTTTGCTACATGCTCGCCATGCCAGGAGGAAGCTGAACAGGAGGTAGACGTCCTGCTGCCGGCGATGACTTGCGAGCTGGTAGAGGCTGTCGAGGTGAAGGATTCTCGCCCGCCACTGAGCAAGGACGGAAGCACAGCCCTGCCTCCTCCTCCTCCTCCTGATCCTCAGAGAGCAAGCACGCAGCCTCCTGCAGTCTCGCACTCGCTCTCTCAACTCCTCCCAGGCCCTCCGCACGGTCGCCTGCTGCCTCCTCCTCCTCCTCCGCTGGCTTGCGTGACGGTCAGCCGTCGTTGTCAGGGCAAACGACCTCCACCGAAACAAACTTGCTGTCTTGACGAACTTGTCTTCTCTTCTTGCCGCAAGGATGTCAACACCTTCAAGTAGAGTCGTTGTTGTCTTCCACATGACCAACCACAAGTGCAACTGCGACCTCTGACAACTTGACACGCGAGCTTGCAGCTCCTGCGACTGAACAACGCACTGGAAGCGCGTCCAGTGGTTGAAACATCCAGACAGCAGCAGCCTGCGAGCAGAGATGAGGAGCGAGGACAGGAGCCTTCTTCTCCCTCGCTCCCCGCAAGCGTCCAAGAGAGAGCACAGGGCGTCGTAGCATCGACGCAGCAAGCATCTCCCAGCATTGCGCAGCTGTCGACTGACAGAGCAGACAAGAGTTGACAGCAGCAGACGGTTGGTCTTGAACATGTTGAAATGATTCCTGAGGCTATGAAGTCTTTCCGTCTCCTCGCATCGCGCTACCAAACTCTCCGTCCTCCTGTCCAGTCCCGTCCTCACGCGCCTGACCTCGTCCTCGGCTGCGTCCAGAGCACGTCGAGCTTCCTCCTCCTCCTCCCTTATCCTCTTCAAACCCGCAAGAAAGTCCATCCTCATCTCCTCCTTCTCCCTCTCGCTCCTCGTCTCCTGCAGCCTCCTCTCCTGCATCTCGCCCAGCCTCCTCCTCCTCTCTTCTTCCAGCCTCGCCCCCGTCATCGTCAGCTCTGCCTGCATTCTCTTCGACACGATTTTAGCCTGCAAGCAGAGCAGCATGTCAGAACTTGCGTATCAAGACATAAGTGCCTTCCATCACCTTCTGACCTTGTTTCATCAACAACTCAACCTCCTCAACAGCATCGCCGAGCTCAGACTGCAGCTGGGACATGCAAGAACGCAGACTTGTCCTGAGGAGTTGTATCGTCTCGACAGTGTGAGTTTGTGTCTGCTGCCTGTAGAATCTGAGCTCTTGCTTCTCTTGATCTGCAGCTGAAAGGTTCCAAAGACTGAAGAACAATCTCTTCAAATGTCTTGTTGAGGCGAGTTGATGGCAATGTTGAGACGCTCGTTTCTGTTCTGAGATGATACAAGACATGTAAGATTCACAGACTAGGTAGGTGATGGTGATATGATGATGATGAAGGAGGAGGAGGAGGAGGAGGAGGAGGAGGGAGGAGGAGGAGGAGGAGGAGGAGGAGGAGGAGGAGGAGGAGGAGGAGGAGGAGGACGAGGACGAGGAGGAGGAGGAGGAGGA